TCACAAAGTGAATACACCCAGGTAAAGGAACAGAAAATCTCATCACCCGAGAAGCTCCCCTTAGACCCCCTTCCAGTCCACCCTCCAAGGGTAACCACCCAGCTTCTGATACCATGGTCTAGTTTCACCAGCCAAGGTAGAGAACTACTGCTTTAAAGGGTATGACTATGGTTAGCTACTGGTGTTGGGGAAAGTGGGGCTTGGGTTGATGTTAAGAGGGAACACCAGCCTGGCCAATGTGGCGAAAATCCATCTCTGCAAAAAATACAAAAGTTAGCCAGGTATGATGGCATGCACCTGTAGTCACAGCTACTCAGGAGGCTGAGGCAGAGAATCGCTTTAACCCAGGAGGCCAAGGGTGCAGTGAGCTGAGATTGTGCCAGGGCACTTCAACCTGGGTGACAGAGAGAGACTCAAAAAAAAAAAAAAAAAGCTTGAACCAAGGCAAGGAGAGGTAGAGGAGCCTGGTGCAGAGGCAGGTGGATGGGGAAAGAAGAAAAGGCAGAGGAGGCCAGATTGGGAGCTCCATGAGCATGGGATTTTCTTTGTTCCATCCTCGGGCCTTGACACACAGTAGATGCTCAGTAAATGTTTGTTGAATTAAATCTGGAGAATTCAGGTGAGAACCAACTGTAGGTCTTGAATGCCACGAAACAATAAACCCCAGCTTCCCCTTAGTGTTTGCCACTTGCCAGGAGCATAGATCATCTTGAATCCTCACAATGGTCCTGGGAGGTTGGTACCATTATTACCCTCCTTTTCAGATGAGGAAACTGAGGTTCAGAGAGGTTAGATGCCTTCCTAAAAGTCACTTACCACTAACTGATAGAACCTGGAATCTGCTCAGTTCTCTGTGTCTCATGGAAGAGGGAAGCTGGCTGGCTGGTGTGGCTGGAGGACAGGAGAGACAGCCTGAGCAGCCAGAGCCACATGCAGTCACTCATGAGGCTGGACTAATGTTCCTTAGACCAGCCTTGGGAAGAGAATCCAGATCCCAGATGAGTGAGGAAAGTCCCATCTCCTCTTCAAGGGAGTTCTGCAGGTGGTCCCTTGGGTTAGGGACAGAGGGCAGGGTTCAGCTAGACCATCTTCCTTATGGAAAAGATGAGGGACAGAGAGGGACAGGGAATTACCTGAGGCCTCACAGAAAGGCAGCATTGAGGCTAGGGTAGCTGGGGAGGAGAGCCCAGGCAGGAAGGTTTCCCGTGGTCAGAAAAGCCAGGAAATGCCCCTTAAAGTCAGGAAAGGCAGAAGGTTAGATTAGCTGGCCTCCAGGGGTCCCATCACATACCTCAAACCAGCCTCAGCACTTGGCTGGTCCAGAGGGCTCAGTGGAGAGAGCAGTTCTGGCTAAGGTCCTACCTTAAACCTTCTGGGTAGGGCCTGGGGAGGAGATGGGGGACCCCAGGGCCTGAACTCAAGCTCCAACCCGACCCTCTCTGCACTGTATGATGGTAAGCAAGTGTCTGTCCCTCCCTTTGTGAGGGATGACCTTTGTGAGTCCTTCACATCTTCTGTGTGCCTGCCAAACACCAAGTCTGTGTCCTCATAGACTTTAAGCTACAGTCCAGGTTGCAGGAAGCGGCAAGGGGAAGTCTATTTTAGGTCCAATTATAGCCAATGAGGATCCCTGCCTGGCAAAGGCAAGTGAGCTGGCATCCCAAGCTGGGTCAGGGGTAGTTTGCTGGGCTGGACTGGGGAGGGAGATAGTGAGCAGGCATCGGGGATAAATTGGGGCAGAGCCCTTGCTGCCCAGGGCAAACACTGCACCAAGGAAAGGGAGAGGCGAGGGAGCTCCTGAGTCCAGCAGCCTGGAAGAAGCTGGTACCCCCAATATGAGGTCTCAACAGATCCTCATAACACGATTGGATGGGCGAGTTCTCACTCAGAAAGGTGAAGTCATTTGCCTAAGGTCACACAGCCTGGCAATGGCAGAACTGGGACTTAATCATTATGTGACACCAAAGCCTATATTCTTCTACTTACCCCTAGATTTCTCTTCTCCAGGCTCCTTAACCTCAGATGCTTCAGCAAGTCACCTGCCTCCCTGGGCCTGGCTCGCACTCCTTAGCTCTTGACCTGCTCATGTTCTGGGCCCAGAGGATAACTGACTGCAAGTCTCACCCTGACAGTTCCCAGGGTCCCCACCAGCTCCACTGTCTGCAGTTCATGGCTCTGGGTTCCTCTCTCAGACTCACCATGGGACCGAGAAGACCCCAAACCTGCCTCCCTGAGCACCAATCAGATGGGCAATATAGCCTGGGATGGACAGAACTGAGAGTGCTGGGCCTCCCCCATCAAGGAGCCAGTGAGGCAGGCATCAAGGGCTTGACACCTCAACGCTAGTGGGATTCCAGATTGAACTTGGTCCTCAGACCCAAACAGCCCCCAGCTCAGCTTCTGCCCTGGCCCCAGGCTGAGCCCCATCCTGGCCTGCTAGACCCAGTTTCTCCTCAGACTGAGCCCACCCTCCCCTGGAGCTAAGGCACAAACACCGACAGTAGCCCACCTTCTTCGGATTCGGACTTTGCCCACTGGGGGTGAGCCTAGGGTGGAGCATTGAAATTTGAGTCTGAGCCTTCCGCTCCTCCAGGCTTGTACTGCATGTACTTTTGGAATTTCAGCACAGCCAGCAGGGTGGCACCACTACCTCTGGTCCATAACCCCAAGGCAGTCATCTACTCAGATCCCCTGCATACAACCACACTGTCTGATCCTGTGACCCAGGATCCCCGCCCTAGGCAGGGCCTGGCTGGGACATGGCACCTGTGCCGCTGCCTCTGGTCCCCATCACAGCTCATCCCAGTTTACTAGGACCTTGTGCTGTGTGCCTACAATGAGGTGCAGACATTCTCTGGGCCCACTTGCCCAGCTGTACCACGTGAAGTTCAACAAGATGGTCTCTGAGGTCCCTGAGCTCAAGGATTCCAGTGCTGACTCCATGGGTTCATTTGATATGCCAAGATTTTAGAAAGCCTGTGATTCTGAGAGTCCTTTGTTCTCAAGCCTGTGGTTCTCCAAGCTCCATAAACAGCAAGTCTAAATCTTTCCTGTGGCTTCCACAACTCCTTCCCTGTCTGCTCACTGTGGAGCAACCCAGATGCTCGTAGATTCGTAGATTCTCAGGGAGGGGCCTGGCTCACAGTGGTTTCGGAGTCAGAGCTAGCTGCAGAAGGAGCTGGCCCATCCAACCAGCGGTAAATAATAATTAGGCTCCCTCTTAACCCGGGGGTTGCAGGGGCAGGAAGTGTTTGCGCTGTGGCCCTGGGAGACCTCTCTACGGAGCTGTAGCCAGGGCAGCCAGGTAGCCCCTCCCATGGAGAACTAAAATGATCTTCAGGCAACATGTCTGGCACCCCAATTTTCAGATGAGGAAACTGAGTTGGGAGTGGATTTGATCAAAACCTCAGAGAGATGGTGGTAGAGAGGGGCCTGGACCCTCTCTAGGATGTCTGATTAATAGCCAGTGCTCCTTAACCAAAAAGCATTTCCCCATTTAGTTTACTGATTAAGACAAGGTCTCACTCTGTCACCCAGGCTGGAGTGCAGTGGCAGGACCGCGGCTCACTGCAGCCTCAACTTCCTGGGCTCAGGTGATTGGCCTACATATTTTTTTAGAGACTGGGCTTCGTCATGTTGCCCAGGCTGCCCTTGAACTCCGGGCTAAGCGATCCTCCCACCTCAGCTTTCCAAAGTGCTAGGATTACAGGCATGAGCCACCACACCTGGCATTCCCTATTTGGTTTATTGAGTAGCACCTGAAATTGCCAGCATTTGAACTCTAGAACTTAGAGCTGAGTTGTAGATGGTCCCCCTACAAAGAAAACTTTTCCAGGAGTGGAGGACATTCTGGCTGCTCTGGCCCTCCATAGGCTGGGATGTGGGACCCTGGAATAATCCCTACCCCAGCCCCAGAGGTCTCCACTGACACATGAGGGTGCTGATGTCATGATCCTGACATCAATGACCTGCAGCTCCTTATGCCCTTCCCCCACAACCTGGGCATGGCCCAGGGAAATGGAAACTCATCCCCTGCCCCCCTCCCCATGCGGTGTCCAGTTCTCCTCCTGGAATCTCCTGGACCCTGGGGACCTGACCTTTCCCGTCTCTTAGTCCCTGGGCTCAGATTCTATGCCTGTTTAGAACCCCACCCCCAGCCATCTATCCCCCGTAGACTTATTTACCTTCCTTCCTCCACCTGTCACGGGCTGTGATCCTGACCCCAGCCAGGCCTCTGGCCCAGCACTAGGCCCTCCCTGGCGTCTCAGTCTCCCATCTGCCCTGCTGTCCTGGGAGGGCCGCCTGAGATCCCCTGAATGGTGCTAAGAAGGGGAATGGGCCACTGAGCTGCTGCCTCCAGTCCTGGCACACCCTGTAGCACAACTCCAGGGAACACGATTCAGAGTCGGAATACAGTGTGAATAGGGCCTGGAGTTTGTGATGACGGGGGTTGGGAACTGGCAGGGTGGGATGGCTGTAGTAGGGAGGGCAGCACTGTCACCTGTCGTGCTGGAGGGAAACAGTAACTACCCTGGCAGAGAGAAGCGGTGCAGGGAGTGGGCAGTGGAGGCAGGAAACGCCTCCTGGAGTATTTCACTGGGCCTTGAAGGATGTGCAGGAGCCCACCAGGTGGACGTCCTTTGTAGACTCACCTTCACGAGGCCTTTGCTCGCCAATTAGGTGAGGGTTTCTAGGGTGGGGCCTCGACCTTGTCAACAAGGCAAAGTGAGGTTATTCTTCCTGGCCACCAACTGGCAGGAGGAAGATGAGGCCCAGCAAGGGGCAAAAGGTGGCTCTAGTTACACTGGCAATGGTGAAAGGACCCAGAGGAGTATCGAAGTCTCCAGTCTCCTTATCTGGCTTCGCACAACCCCTTCTTTCTTGGTTCGGAGCCCTAAAGAGGCTTTTTGGGCCCCGCCGCCCAGTTCCGCGCAGCCCCCTGCAGTTCCTGGGAGCGCGAGAGAGGGCGACCTAGAGCAGCGCGGCCCGGCGGGAGAACGGCGAGCCCTTCCACCGCTCGGGGTGAGGCGGGGCGCAGCCTGGGCTCTGACGTCGGGGGCGGGGCCGGCGGCCTCGGCGCGCGGGGGCAGGGCTGCGCACCTTCCCGGCCCCGCTGGCGATTCATTCAAAAGGCGCGCAGGCTGCGCGGCCGCCCGGGCGCTTGCCGAACCCGGCGGGGACGCGGAGTCGAACGGGGAACCGAGCGGGAGCTGCCGAGGCGCGGCCAGGTAAGGAGGGCTCGCGGAGCCCCCATCCAGAGTCCGTTCCCCGCGGCCGGGCCAGCGGGATGCCGACCCGAGTGGCACCCCCTGCCTCCCCGCGTCTCTGAGGAAGTTCGCGGGCGCGGCGGATACCGCAGCCCGGCCGCGAGCACCCCCCACCCGCCTCCTGTCCCGGCCCCTTCCGCGTACAGGCCCCCGCCAGTCTCAGAGCCGCGGGACCTGCGGGTCCTCGGGCTGCGACTCCGGGCCGGACCTGCGCGGTGGCTGTCGGGGGGCGCGCGGGGAAGCAGCGGAACTAGCGGTGTGAGGGGCACGCGGGGCCCGGAGCCGCCCCCTGCCCGGGAAACTTGGACCAAGACCAGGTTGGGGTGCGGACCGGACAGCGGCTCCTCGGCGCGGCTGCGGCGCGGGGCGGCCGAGGGGGGGGGTCAGGACTGTGTCAGCCCGTGACTGTGGGTGACACTGCGCGTGAGGCGGCCTGGCTGGGCAAACGTGTGGTTGGGACACTGGGCGGTGACGCCGGGCCGAGCGGACGACACAGAGGGGCTCTGTGTGTGGGAGACAGGCAGCGTGTGTGCGTGTGTTGTGTGTGAGGGAGAGACCCGGGGTCACTTGGGTCACGGAGTGCATGGCCTGGGGCGCGACCGGCGCAGGGCCTGGGCCACCCGTTACTGTGAGTGTGAAATAGAGGGAGAGGAGCCCAAGTGACTGAGAACGATCCGGGCTCGCCGGCGCCATGGTGTGCGTGTGGGGTCAAGTGGTGTCAGGTGTGTGTGTGTGCGCGCGCCTAGGGCGATGATGAGTAAGAGGCAGGAGGAGGAGGGACGGGACGCGGCGGGGGCGGGGGGCGATGAGGAAGTTGGGGAGCCAGGAGACAAGGGTCTCTCCAGGGCTGTCCCCACGAGGACTCCCCTCAGGAGTTCAGTTTAGTGAGGAGATGGACCCTGGCAGAGGGAGAGAGCCGAGGATGGGCAACATCTGGTGGGGTGGCCCAGCTGGCAGCAGGGGAGGGGTCCTGTGGTAGTTTCAGCGCCCCCCACACCTGCTGCCACACACTCACACATTGAAGTCCCTACACCTGGCAAAGAAGTCCCTACACCTGGCAAAGCTCTGCCTCTGTGTAACCTGTATTTTCAGCAGACCCAGGCACAATCTTGCTCTCAAACCTAACCTCTAACCCCTCGGCTCAGGCCTCAGTCTCTCCAGCTGCACACTGAGGTGCTGGGCTTTGAATGGACTCTGAATCATCACTTTGGGATCCTCTATTGTTTTTGGGTCAACCATCTGTGTTCTCCCCTCCCTTCAGGCAGAAAGACTGCAGTGTGTGTGTGTGTTGGGGGGGTGGTGGGAGCGGCAGGTTCTGCTGGGGACAGAGTGGCCCAGGGGCTGCTGATAGGTTTGGAAGCACAGTCTTCTCCAAAGCTGGTCCAGGAAATGTTAGCCTCCCATCCAAAGGCTTCCCAGTCCTCTGTCACAAAATGGATCCATAGGCAATGCGAATCCCCAAATCTGTAGACATTCACTTCTCTACCTAGGTGTTCTTTTCTTCACTTCCTTGGGTTGGGGGAGAGGGGACAGAAACTTGTTCCCCTGGAGTGGTCTCTGGTCTGGGAGGCTAAGTTCTTGCTAGAGAGTAGAGTGGGGTCCCTTCGCCATCTGGGCAAGACCCTTCTGAGGCCCCTACTCCCATACGAAGGTCTGTGGAGTTCATGCAGGGTGGGGTGGAAGCTGGGCTTCCTAGTCTAGGAGTGGGTGGCGCTTGCTTTAGGATCTGGAAGTTCTATCTTCTGTCATCCTCTGAAAATGCTGATTGCATTCTAGGGGTGGGGGACAGGGTTGGGGACAGCGTCAGTCACTGTTGTGAACACCTCATGGTTTTCTGTCTTGTTGAATCTTCCTAGTGATTCTGAGATGTAATGACTGTGTTTCAGAGAAAGGAACAGAGAAGCAAAGTGACTTGGCCAAGGTCATACAGAGTCAGGACAGTGCCAGGACTGGAATTCGGGTCTTCTGACCCCAGAACCCTGTGAGATGCTGGGAGAGAGGATCACCCACCTTCCTAATAACTGCTCATGGCTTTCCTGGGCTTCTGTCTCTCAAACTTGGGCTAGTAGGTGTGGCCTTGCCAGGGTTCTAAGTATGATGTGTGTGTGCACACATGCCTGGAGCATTGGGGATGGACAGGTTACATGGTCTTCCTATTCCTCCCTATACCTCACTCCCAACCAAACACCACCAGAAAGACCTGTCCCCTGCCTTCTAGACCCTGCACCTGGTATTGGGTGTGTTCTCACGGCTTTGAAGAGTATATGGAGTTAGTAGCACAGCCTAGGGCAGGCATCCCCAAACTACGACCCATGGGCCGCATGCGGCCCCCTGAAGCCATTTATCCGGCCCCCCACCGCACTTCAGGAAGGGACACCTCTTTCATTGGTGGTCAGAGAGAGAAGCACAGTATGTGGCGGCCCTCCAACGGTCTGAGGGACAGAGAACTGGCCCCCTGTGTAAAAAGTTTGGGACGCCTGGCCTAGGGGTAGCAGGGACAGTTGAAAGTCCCAGGTGACCTTCAGCGTACTTGAGAGACCCCCATCCCCTTCTTTGCAGTTGCTCTAGAGGCATTTCCCCAAATCCATCTGCATATTGTGGTGGGGAGCAGACAGGCAGTGACCTTGAGCTGGTCCCTACTCTCTGGCAGAAAGAGTAGAGGAAAACTGTCCCTGCTCAGTTTGTCTCTCTGGGCCTTGGTTTCCCTGTTCTTCCCAGAGACCCCTTTTGGCTCTGACCACTGTTGTCACTTGGCCAAGAACTAGAACTGGGGGTCAGGGTTTCCCCCGGTCCTCTCTGCAATGACTGGAGCTGTGCTTCTTGGGGCTGATGAAAATAGCTGTCGTGGTCTCTAGGGGCTGAGCCCAAGTTATTTCCATTCCCAGCAAAGAGGTGGAAATAGCTTAGGGTCTGGGAGGGGGAGTGAGAGGGGAAGGGTTAACTTCTCTTTATCCCAGCCTTGAAGGAGGCCCCCCAGCCTCAGCCTGTGCCCTGTCCAAGCCAAACCTTTCTGGGAACTAGGGCCTCTGGGGATGACAGTGGGGCCAGGCTGGGTTTCCACTTGTGGCCACAGTTGGGACTGGTGTGATAGCTGCTGGAGGCAGGGGTCTGTATCTGGCCAAGGAAGGGAGACATTGAGGGCCAGTCAACACCTGCCCCTACTCATAGGGTCAGGCCCAGTCTCATTTTACAGAGGGAGAGACTGAGGCTCTGAGAATTCAAGGACTTACCCAAGGTCTCCCAGAACTCTCACCCTCCAGACAGGGTACCTGCCTTCTGTCCTGAGTTCGCCGTTCTGTGCCTGCACTTTCCCTGGCAGCTGGAGGTCGGCCAGCACTGGAAGCAGGCCCAAGACGTTCCCAACGTTGGCCTGCCTCATACTCCAGCTCTGGCCTTGCTATCCCTGCCGGGGCTCTGGTTCCAGCTTCTCTGCTTCCACGTCAGCTCTTGTACACACTGCCAGAGTGACCTCCCTGAAGTAACTTGCTTTTCACCTACAAGTATAGTTCAGACTCCTCACCTGCATTAAGGCCTTTCCTTCCAAGGCCTTTCAGAATTTACGTCTTCACCCCTGCGTCTCCCTGCCAGATACCTTGTCTGCCTTGCCTTTGCTTCCCTCTTTCTAGAACCCTCTTGGCCATCCAGGGTATAGCCCCAGCTCCACCTCATCTGAAGAGGAAATTAATCTCTCTCCATTGTTGTGGCCACCTGCTGGGTGCCTTCCCTCATTGCTGGGGAATGGGCACAGGTACAGGGCATCTATGGGCACCACATGCTCAGCCAGGTGGGGTCAGTGTGGCCAGCAGCCTGCCCCCTCCCACTGCTGTCACTGTGCTGGTGAAGCCTCTTCCTGAGGAAGTGCAGCCGCCCTAGGATCCCAGCACCTGTGTGCTGGGAGGCACCAGGAGGTTTGCACCCAGGTCTCTGGTGCTCACCATGGCCTGAGGCAGAATGTGTGCTGGGGATTGGGGGCAAAGACGCAAGGCCACTCCTATGGGTAGGGGGCAAGTGTGGTGCTTGTCATGGTCCTGGACATCCTGAACCAGTAGAGGAAACTGTCCCTGCTCAGGCCCTGCTGTGCGCCAGGCCCTGAGCCCAGCATTTCCTCAGAACAGCGCTGACCCAGGCCCTCTCCTTTCCAAGTTGGTATGGGGGAGTCTGGACTCGGAGCAGAGCGAGCAGCCCTAGGCTGAGTCATGCGGCTGCTCATGTTGGAGTCAGGCACTCCAGCTCTTGCCCAGTCCCCAACCTGGTCTCCAGGCAGGAGGTGAGGGTTGAGGGGCTTGTCTGACAATTCTAACATCAGTTTCCCAAGAAGGGTCAGGCTGGTCAGCACCTGGTCTGGCTGGGTGGGAGCTGACTCCCTCTGTTACGGGGCCAGCCCTTCTGCCAGGTCAGCAGGAGAGAGGATCTGAGAGGAAGGGGTTTTGCCTGAGATTACCCAGCAGGGTGTGTCTGGCCCCATTCCCCACTTAGAGTTGATGAGGGAGCAGGGATGTGGTCTCTGGACAGAGAGAACACCCACTGTGTGCTGAGCTCATGTCTGTCTGGGCCTAGGCTTGGTGCTGCTGAGTGGGACTGGGGTGGCAGAGAGGACAGGAGCTGATGCTGTATCCTTACTCCGTGCCCATCCCTGGGATTAGGGCCTGTGAGGCTGTCACATCCTCAGCCTTATACTCCTGGGGGGTCATCATTCCTTCCAATCACAGGCAGGGAAACCCAGGCCCAGAGAGAGGAGGCACTTGCCAGGCCCCCGTGTCCCTGGGATCCAAACCGAGGTCTCCTGGCCTTGCAGGCCAGAGTTCTTTCCTAGGCCACCCTGGGAAAGATGAAAGCTCTATAAATAAACTGCCCATGTGGCTGTGAGCAACTGCCCTGGCTAGTTGTCACAGACAGAGGGAGACAGCAGGGACCTCTACAGCCAGTGAGAGGCGGGGTCTAAGAGTGTGGGTGGAAAGAGG